GGACCAGGTCATCGGTCTACCTCTACGGCTGTCTGCCCACGTTACAACGACCAGTGCAAGGTTTCCACACCAGTATTTTTGTGCCCCACCGATTGTCAGTGCGACGGCATTTATGGCCGACCCACTTCCACTTTTCCGAGCAATCACTTTGGCTATGTCGGTCAAACCAGTTCTTCGGATTTCGGTGTTGCGTACCCTATACCTTAGAGAAATGCCTAACATAGCCCATTCCATATTATCTAGAACCGCTGAGTTCATCGACAATGCGTTTCCAGAGGTGTTTTTTGCCACGTACCATACGGTTATGGAATGAGCTCCCCTCCACGGTGATTCCCGAGCGCTATGAAATCTCCTTCTTCAAACGAGGCTTGTGGAGAGTATTAAGCGGTAGGCAGCGGCTTGACTCTGCTCCTGGCATTGCTGAAGTTCATAGGCGGCGATAACCACTCACCATCAGTTGGGCTATATGCTCGTCTGCCTACAAGGGCAATAAAAAAATTCTCGCTTACGACATTTTTAAGATAAGCTCGCATATATACAAGTTCCGAACAACAACATTCGGACCGTCGGTCTAACGAGCAATATCACCCGCTCGGTGGAAGATCTTCCTTTCGTCGTCTAAGCCTTCAATGGTTTTATGCGTGACTTGCATTTCGATCATAATTTGCTTTGTGATCGACCATGTTTCGGCCTCATACACCATCACAGGGAGAACACATTGCTCGAATATCCGACGCTTCAATTTCATAGGTATACTAGCTGTACCTGTCCGCTTCGCTGGGCATATAAAATTAACATTATTATTTCTCACCCCCACAAAGATTCTCATCATTAACGCCCCCGCAACTGCTGTAGGGAGTCCAACACTCATATAAACATTAGCCTATCCATTAAGTACATGTATTTTCTACATGGATACCAAGTTTCAAGTCAATTGGAATGCACGGTTCAGTAGTTATAACGGAACATCCGTAAAACCACTCTAGATTTATATAATAGTGTAGATACCCTTTATTATGTCAGCCAGCTTACCGAAAGTAGCCCGTCCTAGCTGTGTGCGGCTCTTTATCTTCCGTTCCTGGCTGGTTCTATCGAGACTGATGTTCTGCCCTAAATAAAAAGGCTCTATTGTTTGGCCTCTAACTTGAATGTGATCCACTCCATCACCACAGTACATAATTTTGGTTTTGGAGATGTTCGTATTAAGGCCAATAACGCCAGTAGTGTTACTGATTAAATACTACCCGTATTCCAACTAAATTCTTTTAGGTTTTTTTTTGTGATTCGTAAACACGAAGCAAACAAGACGGTGCGTCTATTCGACGCTGTCGTAAATGCCCGTATGCAATATTAACGTTCGAAGCGTAGCCAAAATAATATTTCGTATGTCACTTAAGACGTAGTGTACGCCTGTAAATATATATTAGAAAAAGAAAAAAGAAAAACCAAATTGTAAAAAAAAAAAACAAAGAAAAACAAACCCAAAGTTTGTATCGTTCTTTAATCTTAAGATCGTGTATTATAATACTAAATTCGAAATACATTATTAGTGTTTATAAATCGATGCCTCCAATGAACAGTACTCTAACTCCAAATTCGTAGGTTTACAGGAGGAGAGTTTAAACGAAAAAAGTTGATAAATATAACTGCAATAATAAAGATTTTATGGTTTTTTCTTGTGTAACTAGCTGATTTACTCTTGCTTCGAACCCCATTAATAATGAATTTGTAATACTCTTAAAATATTGAAGCGATTTGCGTGAAAAACGAAAATTTCAAAATTTTGAGTTACAGTGGTGTTCATTGGAGGCATTGAAATGTTTCTAGGAAAATATTTACGATTTTTATCTTTCGCATACAGTAAAGATTAATTGAAGACCCTACTTCCAATCATTTGTCCTTTAAAAATGAAACTGGAAAGAAACGTCAATAGAAAATAGAGATAGAAAAAAAAAGCGATTTGACGGTAGTCACAAAAACACCTCGGTTGTCCGTGAACACGAAAACTGAAGTACTCCTTACGACGTAAACAATAAAACTCAAAATGATATTTATCTAACAAAATAAATTAACGCCATATAATTAATTACTCAAGACGCATTTTTAAATAATAGATTTAATGTATCTTTATACTCGGTTATATTTACCCCCTCCCTCCGTATATAGGAATAATTATATCTAATAGATTTTCAATGTTGCACTAGCAGAAGAGTCATATCTGAATTAAGAAGTTAACGATAACTAAGAATAGTGCTCATTTAAAAGATACAGTGCTCGGCGATAAATCTTACACATCGACTCTTAAAAAGAGACAATCGGCTAATTTCGGCTTCGTAGAGCGCTATCTCTGTCGCACACTACGTGACGTATATGAGTCGTTGTCTTACCGTAGACCCTAATAGACATCATACTGATTGTGTTCGTTAGCCGAATCCGAATGTCTCTTATTCATCGAGTACTAATTAAGACATGTCGGATTTATCAGACCGATCCGATCGCGCCATATCATTGTGTCTTCAACCACAATGATAGTGATACAAAAGGTGAATATTGAAATTTGCCAAAATTATTAGAATACATTATTCAAAAAATAGCATTAAAACATTTTAGTGGCCATATTTATCCTGATATAACATTCAGGATTCTATAAGTCGAGACTTAAGAAGCATAAGGTCGGTTAAGAATATACAGCAAGTATAATAGGAAAAAGGCGAACGTTGGTTGGCGATTAAAATATATTTTCGCTTATCCCGTGTCCGTTACGACCTTACTCTTCTGAAATTTCGACGTTTTGAGGGTATTCGCAAATCTCAAGCCACAAGTATTGGTCATGTGCCAATACAAATGAAGTTAGATTTGTGGCAACTCAGAATCATTAAAAGCTTTGCAATAGACAAGCTGACACCGTTAGCAAAATAATCTAGTAAAGTAGGTATTTTAATCAAATCAAAGATATATATTATATTAGTCTCATGTCAAGTTAAAAACTAATTTACGAGTGACGTCATTTGTGGCTAGTTGCGTGTCCGGAAAACGGTGAGTTCGGATTTTGGCCCCAAATGACGTCACACGAAATTAATTTACCTTTAAGCTAGTTTTAGTGGTTTGCGGGGCGATTTTAAAAACGATCGCCTGGCCGGTTCCCTGTCACCGGTAAAATTAAAAATGATAAATCATATCCCGCAAAACGTTTTTTTTTTCAATTGTTCTCATAAAAAAAATCTTAAAACGATAGTATTAGGTAATTATATAATAGTTGATAAATTTATTTGAATAATTCCGAATCTATAGTTGTTATAGTTATCACGTAATAATGTAATCTATGTAATAAAGATCTAAGTCGATATTCTTATACAATTAATCTTTAAGTAAAATGAAAATGTATAAAAAATGAGAGAATTAAATGATATCGTGTCGTGAATAGGTTTTATTCGAAATGTGGGTACCTGATACTTTAAGACGGGCGGGCGGCATGATGGGTGGACGAGCTCACAGCCCACCTGGTGTTAAGTGGTTACTGGAGCCCATAGACGTCCACAACGTAAATGCGCCACCCACCTTGAGATATAAGTTCTAAGGTCTCAAGTATGGTATTCTGAGGTCTGACCAATAGAAAACAATACGTTTGAGAACACAAGATTTTTTTTCCTACCTAAGCTGATAGCCTAGAAAGGCTATGTCGGCGTAACCCTAACGAATAGGTGAGCTCTTGGGGCTCAGACCAGGAGGCATTGCTAACACTAGCCCTAGCAAGAGCAGTGCTTCACAGAATCTACCACCGGATCAGAAACGCGACCCACTGAGAAGATCCGGCGTGAAACTCAGTGGGCTGTGTCTGTGGGTTAGTTTTCTCACCGAAACATTTGTCGCAAGCGACGGGCTCGAGGAGAACGATGACCCGTGCTTGAGGTACCTAAAAGCACCGTTAGTGGATCGGGAGGATCCGAAATATTGTGCTTAGGGCTACCTCGACTGCTTACCATGTGTAACGGACGTGACGTCAGCTGTCATGCCCTGCCGCCAGCCAAGCCGCCAAGCCATATTAACACGCCCCCTTCCGCCACAGCCACCGCCGCCGCCGCCAGACAAAGCCAACGAAGGGGGGATAGTGTTAATAAAACAAGCCGTGCCAGCCATTTCTACCTGCTTTTTGCATTCTCGCACCAATAAAAGAACTTGTCGTTACGCTGCTGATTTTTATTGTCACATCATTTGCAACACATGGAACACAACGGACTTTTCGGGAAGAACACGAAGGTCGAAGTTGTGTGAATTATTTTATTTTGTTCATATACCGTACAAAACGTTTCTTTTTTTTTATTGCCCGTGTAGGCAGACGAACACATGGCACACCTGATGGTGAGTGGTTACCGTCGCTCATACCGCTCAGAGCCGCTGCCTACCGTTAATTACTCTTCATCTAATTTGAAGAAGGACATGTCACAGCGCTCAGGAAACACAGTGGAAGGGAGCTCATTTCATAGCCGATGGTATGTATCAGTAAAGATCTCTGGAAATGCACTGTGGATGAACGCAGTGGCTCCAGGTAGTATGGATGAACGAGGGGCTGCCGTATCGAAAAGGTCAACATTTCAGAGCCTTCGCTTCGCCTCCAATGCTTCGTCGGCCTTGCGATCTTAGGGTGAGCTGCGCCGTCTGGTTGTAGTGTAGACCGCGGTAACCCCCTTACCTCATCCGGGTTCTGACCTCGGGGATCGGACGCTTGGGCGAAGAGTACAGGGGAGTCGTTTAGTGGGTAGGGCCCTGAAAACACCCTTGGGCCCGCGGACTCGCAGTCGCGGACCAGTAAAACACCCCGCGCGCCCCCTAGGCGCGGGTACCTCGTAGGAGGTTCGGCCCCCGGTCCGAAAAAGAAAAGGTATGTTTATATTCAGTATTTCAGTTCATATATGAAAGTGCCGGCTTGCGACAGAAACTGCGACAAGTTTTAGCGATATTTGACTTTTTAAAGGTATTGTGGTGCCCGGTTCTGGGTACAGCTATTTCTTCCCTTTCCCTTTAGCTTTCCCCTTAAGGTTTGGCTCGACGATCGGTTCAGGTTCGGGCGGCGGAGGAGGCCAGTACTTATCGAAGAAGCCATCGTCAGCTGCGTAGAGTAGGGGCAGTATGTGACTCTTTCGATTCCAGGCCTCCCTATCCAACTCTTCTTGTTCTTCCAACTCTTTCTCTTCTTTTGCTTTGAGCTGAAACAAAGGAAATTAATTTTTATTATAATCGTCATCATTTATATATTCTTGTCTAATAAACATCAAAATAAAAAGATGTAACTTTTTGTATTTTTATTCAATTGCTAATTTTGAACTCAATAAGTGTGGCTATTGAGCGGGGGCCATTGACATTTTTAGTTTTAATTTATTTCAAATCAAAACTAATACAGGACAGGTTGATAATACACGAAAAGTTGAAAGAAAATTAAATTGGAAAACAACTTTGGCGATCCAATCTCGCTTTTATTAAATTGCAACTTAAAAGTGATTTTCACTGGGTATGCGAAATACGAAAAACGGAAGCAAAGAATGTTTATTACGTCATTATAAAATATTATAATAGCCGGCAAACTTCTTGAGCATTTGTTGACGTAGTGGGGGTAAGTTTGCGCATGGTACACTCACGTGCAAAAACATTATTTACTCTGCGTCATAATGCAATTAAATTATTAAAATCAACATATGTATTTATTTATATATTTATTAGAACATCAACAAAAAATATAGGTTAATAATTGTAATAATTTAATCTTGGNAAGATCTCTCGAAACGCACTGTGGATGAACGCAGTGGCTCCAGGTAGTATGGATGAACGAGGGGCTGCCGTATCGAAAAGGTCAACATTTCAGAGCCTTCGCTTCGCCTCCAATGCTTCGTCGGCCTTGCGATCTTAGGGTGAGCTGCGCCGTCTGGTTGTAGTGTAGACCGCGGTAACCCCCTTACCTCATCCGGGTTCTGACCTCGGGGATCGGACGCTTGGGCGAAGAGTACAGGGGAGTCGTTTAGTGGGTAGGGCCCTGAAAACACCCTTGGGCCCGCGGACTCGCAGTCGCTGACCAGTAAAACACCCCGCGCGCCCCCTAGGCGCGGGTACCTCGTAGGAGGTTCGGCCCCCGGTCCGAAAAAGAAAAGGTATGTTTATATTCAGTATTTCAGTTCATATATGAAAGTGCCGGCTTGCGACAGAAACTGCGACAAGTTTTAGCGATATTTGACTTTTTAAAGGTATTGTGATGCCCGGTTCTGGGTACAGCTATTTCTTCCCTTTCCCTTTGGCTTTCCCCTTAAGGCTTGGTTCGACGACCGGTTCAGGTTCGGGCGGCGGAGGAGGCCAGTACTTATCGAAGAAGCCATCGTCAGCTGCGTAGAGTAGGGGCAGTATGTGACTCTTTCGATTCCAGGCCTCCCTATCCAACTCTTCTTGTTCTTCCAACTCTTTCTCTTCTTTTGCTTTGAGCTGAAACAAAGGAAATTAATTTTTATTATAATCGTCATCATTTATATATTCTTGTCTAATAAACATCAAAATAAAAAGATGTAACTTTTTGTATTTTTATTCAATTGCTAATTTTGAACTAAATAAGTGTGGCTATTGAGCGGGGGCCATTGACATTTTTAGTTTTAGTTTATTTCAAATCAAAATTAATACAGGACAGGTTGATAATACACGAAAAGTTGAAAGAAAATTAAATTGGAAAAGTTGATCCAATCTCGCTTTTATTAAATTGCAACTTAAAAGTGATTTTCACTGGGTATGCGAAATACGAAAAACGGAAGCAAAGAATGTTTATTACTTCATTATAAAATATTAACACTTTTTTTATTTTGTTTTATTGATGATTTAGGCAAACGACTTCAGTTACGTTACTATCACACATCACACATAGGAACGTGAGTTCTAGTTCTAAATCTATACTAATATATAAATCTACAGTGGTTTTTACGGATGTTCCGTTATAACTACTGAACCGTGCATCCGATTGACTTGAAACTTGGTATCCATGTAGAAAATACGTGTACTTAATGGATAGGCTAATATTTATATGAGTGTTGGTTTCCCTACACCAGTTGCGGGGGCGTTAATGATGAGAATATTTGTGGGGGTGAGAAATAATAATGTTAATTTTAAATGCCCAGCGAAGCGGACTGGTACAGCTATTGTATCTAAATGTGATTTTACTGCCCCGACCATCCGAGGCGGCTGGTAGCAGCAACACATTCCGCAGCCATTAAAATCTGAATTATTCAACTAACCATCATCATCACAATTCTCCTGCCCTTCTCCCAGTCACCTGGGGTCGGCGCAACATGTTTTCTCCTTCCATACTCCTCTATCTTACACCATCTCTCCGTTCACTACCCTCTTACACATATCGTCTTTCACGCAATCCATCCATTTTTCTTAGGTATCTCTACCTCTTCCTCCAAAGCTTTCCACGTTCACACTTAAAACTCTGTTAACAACCTCATTATCATTTGGTCTCATCGCATGGTATGGACATGTGCTTCAATTCAACTGTTTAACTTACCGCCATCAAAGCTAAATACTCTTCTGTATCGACGTCCCTTTTCTTTCCCTTGCCAGCGCTCTTGGCGTCTCTCTTAGGCGATTTATCTTTCTTCGGCTTCTGTTTTATTGGTGCGTACAGCCGCTTCGGGTTACGGATAGGATACGGAGAATCGGTTTGGATGTAATCCGGTGTGAACGTGAAGATCGATCGTATCAACTCGTATTGGTAGTCCGTGCCGAATCTAAACAAGACGCGGATATGTTGACCAAGTTATAGGTTCCCTTTGACAAAAAACTTTGTTTTTATTTCCTCTACCTATTCTCTGGTAGTCTAAGAGCCGAGTCACACCGGAATGGCAGCGTCGCGGCGAGCACTGTCAGCGTTAAATAATTTTAAACTTTATCTATATACTTAAAAGATCAGTATCGCTTGAAAAGCTTGAAAAGGTCGCGACACAGCCGCCTCCCGCTCGTGGTGAAGCGAACAGTCGCGCGCCACGTGCGTCTTGTCGGTGGTTCTGCCAGCGGCGACACAAGGCCACTTGCGGCACCGCGGTCTTACTTATATAATAACCAATTCCATCATGTTCACTCCAAACACACGAGTATCATTGCCGAATGAAGAAACTAAACTAGTCAAGAGGAGACTAGGCGCGTGCAATCTGCAGGACGTGCGAGGCCGCTGGCATCGCCGCCGGCCGCTGCCATTCCGGTGTGACTCGGCCCTAAGGGGATATTACAGCTACGTTCGGATGGGTAGGTAAGCCGAAGCTCAACCTGAGAGAATTAGCTAGCACTAGCCTTAGCAAGAGCAGTGCTTCGCAGAACCTGCCACCGGATCGGAATCGCGACCCGCTGAGAAGATCCGGCGAGAAACTCAGCGGGCTCATGCATGGGTTAGCTTGCACGTCGACCTCTTTGTCGAGATCGACGAGTACGGTTACCGGGGTCCCTAAGCCTGCTCTTAGTGTTAGAGCTGAAGGCGTCTAGTGCAAAGGTTATTAGATCTGATGGATCCGTACGGACGTGGGACTGAAAAAGTAAAAGTAAAGTAGTCAAAACGTCGGAAATAAATTAATGACAATAAAAAACGCGAAATTAAACTGGTTAACTATGTGCTCTTAAATAGGTCTAAGATTGGCGAAGACCAAGAAAAAAAACTGCAATCACAACAATAATCAAATTGAAAACAAAGAAAGTGGAATTACTAAATTTTGAATGACTGGTCGTAGGACGTCTTGCGAGTCCGCACGGGTAGGTACCACCACCCTGCCTATTTCTGCCGTGAAGCAGTAATGCGTTTCGGTTTGAAGGGTGGGGCAGCCGTTGTAAACTATACTTGATACCTTAGAACTTATATCTCAAGGTGGGTGGCGCATTTACGTTGTAGATGTCTATGGGCTCCGTAACCGGTTTATCACCAGGTTGACTATGAGCTCATCCACCAATTTAAGCAAAAGAAATTTGAGTAAAGACAAATATAAACCAACAGGTCATATATATAATGTATAATCTTGGTTAGGTCTCGTAAAGAGCATTCATAGGCGGCGCCTTCGAAGGTTACGGCGTGCTTTGATTCGGTAGCCGCGACCAGCTGTGAATCAACCTCCACCTCCTCGAAATGTACTCCTGCTTGCGCTGGAGTCGGCAGGAAGCTTTTATCGGCCACGAAACGTGCTGCTGACAGCATGTTATCCTGGAGATATTTAGGAATCAAAGCTGAGCTGTTCCAAAGATAAAGTACCTGGCGATAAATATTGCACATCGACCGCGGGAAAGAGACAGCTAATTTTTGCTTCGTAGAGCGTTGGCTTGGCTTGGCACTGCACCCGGCATTGCTGAAGTCCATGGGCGACGGTAACCACTCACCATCAGGTGAACCGTATGCTCTTCTGCCTACAAAGGCGATAAAAATAGATAAAGAAAAACGAAGTGAAGAGTGTTTTTTGCTATTAATTGATAGTAGCCTCGACGGGTTATGCTAGCTTCACCAGACGTGAAGGTGAACTCACGGGGCTCAGTTTGAGATTTTGTTAACACTGGCCCCAGCTAGAGCAGTGCTTCGTAAAATCTACCACCGGATCGGAAACGCGACCCACTGAGAAGATCCGGCTAGAAACTCAGTGGGCTGTGTTTGGCTAAGAGGAGACCTAGGTCTAGCAGTGGACGTGTTTGCGCCGAAAGATAGAAGATAGATTCATTGTCACGCACCCCGATGTCATATGGTTTGAAGGTTGGGACGGTTGGTTGGTATGAAAATTAAATTAAAGATGAATTTTCGATAAACAAAATCGAATAGTTCTAAAATACGAATTAATTTTAGAGCTATTCGATTTTGTTTCGGCGTGGTAAATTATAATCGCAGTCCATGATGTCATAATAATATGTCGTTAATCATTATGAGTCGTATGGAGTAGTCCGAGCAACATTGGCATTTGTGAACTAATCGTAGCAGGGAAAACACTAGCTTTCAAACACCTAATCCAGACACCAAAGTGATGTAGGGGTGGCTATCATAGAAAAGTACTATAGACACAGCCCACTGAGTTTCTCGCCGGATCTTCTCAGTGGGTCGCGTTTCCGATCCGGTGGTAGATTTTGCGAAGCACTGCTCTTGCTAGGGTAAGTGTTAGCACCACTCCGGTCTGTGCCCCGTGAGCTCACCTACATGTTAGGGCGAAGCTGAAATAGCCTCTCAAGACTATTAGCATTGGTAGGAAAAATAAAAGTAGAAAAAAAGATGACTGATTAGGTGGTACAATAGTTAGCGCCTCTGACTGTTGCTACGTTGGTTGTGGATTCGATTCCCACATCGGATTAACATTGTGTGATGAAGAGGCTTGTTTGCTATTTGTTTGGGTGTTTCTTATCTATATATGTATATATTTATACGTATTGTTACGCACTGGAGTACGGGATAAAAAAAAACCAACAAAGTACAAATTGACACTGTATTTATCACTTAGAATACTTAAAATACTTAAAAATTCTCAATTCGCTTCTTTCGCTTCGCTTCAGGTGATCCGTTCGCTGTTTCGCCTCGAGTAGTTTTAATTACTAACTGGCTGCATGCCATCTCTGCAACGCTTTTATAGCCGATTCGACATCCCTAGAATTATCGAGAATATTACACACATATCTAATATTGTGTTTCCGCTATCTGACAATAGATGGCATTGTACTACTCAAGCGTTCGAGGTGCTACTAGATCCTTCGATATTCGTTCGAATATTCGGCGATAGATGGCATTACTCTTACCGGCGTAACAGTATGTCAGTCTCGGATATCCATCCCTAAATTGAGGCCGGATGACCGTGCGTGATTTGCTCCTAATTATTAATTTATTATTTATGATTATTTAACAAAATTCTGGATGCGCTGATAAGTTTTCCTGGATAACCTTGGACGTATACATGTTTCGAATATTCGTGTCGAATGTCGGTATACCGAGCAATCACAGCTTGATGGCAAAATTTCCAGCTACAAATACTGCAAAAATTCGGATTTGAATATACCTAGTCAGGTCATAAATTCTGTCACATGTTTAATGTAAAATAATTGAAACAAGTTTATTCATTATGTAACCATTCATATACCAAAATGAGCTTAACAAAACATAGATTCTTATGACACTAAAGTTTATTCAAAATGACCTCCGTGATTTTGAATACAGGCCTTCAATCTGCGCGACCAGTCGTCTATTGCAGCACGAACGAGGTCCATGTCAATATCGGCGGCTGCCTTAATCAAGGATGTCTTGAGTGACTCCAAATTGGGATGAGGCTTTGAGCACGCCTTTTCCTCCAAGTGTTGCCATATCTTGTAATCTAACGGATTCAAATCTGGACTGGAGGAGGGCCAGTCTTCCTGCCGGATGAAGTCGATTTCACGCGCCGCCAGCCAGTCTTGTGTGCTCTTCGCTCTATGAGCTGGCGCCGAATCTTGTTGGAATACCCAGTGCCTGTTATTGAACATGGTATGAGAAACAGGTTCTACAAGGTTCGTCAGGACTGTATTTTGATACACAACTGCATTCGTTTTTACACCTTTCTCACAAAAATGTACCTNGGGGAAAGTGAAGCGTTTAGTGCGGAGCACATCTCTCCCATCACCCTCCCCCTCGGGACGCCGGACCGGCGGTCGTCGGCGCCACGACCACCAGCCCTCTCGGTCGGCAGGCTATCCGGAGCCCGCCTAGATGGCGCCGGTTAGAATGGTCTATCCTACGGAATACCCCGCTGGGTCAGAACCAGCGTGGGTCGAGGATAGCCGGCCTTGGCTATGGGCTAGTTCACTCGTCGAACTCTTCTTCGCATTCGACGGGTTTGACGAGAACGGTGACCGGTGCTTGAAATTTCTAGAAACATAGATAGTGGATCGAGAGGCTCCGAGATGACGTGCTTAGGGCGACGTCGACTCTTTACTGTTTGGTCATCTGGATCTGTGTGCTTAGTGCGAGTTTTTTAACGTTCTCGATAGCGTAAAAGTTAACTCATATTTGTATGGAACGTGATCGTTTGCGTACGTTTGCCGCTAGGGGCGCTGTTCCAACTGCATAAAAATTTTGAGTTAACTTTTACGCTATCGAGAACGTTAAAAAACTCGCACTAAGCCTTACTGGTATATATTATGTAGTTTGCTCTGAGTACTCTCCATAAGCTTTTGTAGCTCCATGCATTTTTACTGGTGGTAGCACATCTTATGAGTCCGCGCGGGTAGGTACCACCACCCCGCCTATTTCTGCCGTGAAGCAGTAATGCGTTTCGGTTTGAAGGGCGGGGCACCCGTTGTAACTATACTGAGACCTTAGAACTTATGTCTCAGGGTGGGTGGCGCATTTACGTCGTAGATGTCTATGAGCACCAGTAGCTGCTTAACACCAGGTGGCCTGTGAGCTCTTCCACCCATCTAAGCAATAAAAAAAATTGCAAGAGTTCGCGGGCTGATTTCGCTTCGCAAATACGCTTACCTCAAATCTCTTCATCATTCGTTGTCTGTCAGCCGCATCGAAGCGCTGCATCTCTCTCATCCACTCACAGAACCAAAGGATCAGCACAGCTTGTGTTGCTAAAGGTGGTTTACGTGAAAAGTTTAATTATTGGCGATTCCCCCAGTGTACAGTGTGGTGGTACTTCACCATATGGGTTTCACAAGATGCCCGACCCTTAGTAATTAGGTAAATATTCATTTTTATTACACGATGTTATCCCTCATGCATACGTATTCTGGTACTTTAATTATTTAGCAAATTATCACCTGTCTGCGGGATTCGAACATTGGCACATTTGCATCGATCGATACGATTGCACCGGCCGTCTTATCCTTTAGGCCACGATGACTTCTAAATTAAATGCCCAAGTCTTTATCTATTTCGAGACATTCAAGCACGAAACACTGTATTGATTTACAAATCCAAACTGTATAGTAAAACCTCTCTTTCACGGCCAAAGAATCCAACATATACCAGCTTTGTGGCAGAAACGTAGGTATATGAGTGATACTTTGGGTGGACGAGCTTACACCCCACCTGGTGTTAAGTGGTTACTGGAGCCCATAGACATCTACGACGTAAATTCGCCACCCACCTTGAGATATAGGTTCTAAGGTCTCAGTATAGTTACAACGGCTGCCCCGCCCTTCAAACCGAAACGCATTACTGCTTCACGGCAGAAACAGGCGGGGCGGTGGTAGGTACCTACCCGTGCGGACTCACAAGAGGTCCTACCACCAGTAATTACGCAAATTATAATTTTGCGGGTTTGATTTTTATAACACGATGCTATTCCTTCACCGTGGAAGTCAATCGTGAACGATTGTTAAGTACGTATTTCATTAGAAAAATTGGTACCCGCCTGCGGGATTCGAACATCGGTGCATCGCTAGATACGAATGCACCGGACGTCTTATCCTTTAGGCCACGACGACTTTAAGACACCTTGAAATATCAGTTCTAAGGTCTCAGTATAGTTACAACGGCTGCCCCGCCCTTCAAACCGAAACGCATTACTGCTTCACGGCAGAAATAGGCACGGTATCTACCCGCGCGGGCTCACAAGAGGTCCTACCACCAGTAAAAAGCGATACGTTTCTTTTTAGCCCACGCAAATCCACTGCTGGACATATGGCTCCCCCAAGGTTCGCCAGAATAACCGGTCTTGCACAGCCTACATCCAGCGCTACAAATCTCTGACCTATCTACTAAATATACGCTCTATCAAACAAATTAAACACAGTTTCGATTTTTACTAAGCGAATTCACCACATTCCTCCGTTGTGAATATCATAAAATTAAGTTACTACACATTTATTTAAACAAATTGGGCCCAGGATTTGAACCCCGGCACAGTGGCGTCGTTTCAAACACACCGGACACTTTATCTTTCAGGCCACGACGACGATACTGCCTACATCCTAATTGTTAATAGAGGAAATTTATAATAGGCAAAAGCTATCATTGTGTTTTGTAAATATACCTACTAGCCGTACTCGCCCACATCGCTGGTCATTTAAAATGTCCAACACTCATATAAATATTAGCCTATCCATTAAGTACCTACATGTATTTTCTACATGGATACCAAGTTTCAAGTCAATCGGATGCACGGTTCAGTAGTTATAACGGAACATCCGTAAAAACCACTCTAGATTTATATAATACTAGCGACACGCCCTCGCTTCGCTTCGGAAACATTAAAACATAAATGAAACCAAAAAAAAATAAAAAAAATAAATAAAAAAAGTAGCCTATGTTCATCAGGGACAATGTCGGCTTCTAATGGAAAAAGAATTTTTCAAATCGGTCCAGTAGTTTCGGAGCCTATTCGAAACAAACAAACAAACAAATCTTTCCTCTTTAAAATATTAGTATAGATATAGACTAGCTGTACCCGACCGCTTCGCTGAGCATTTAAAATTAACATTATTATTTCTCACCCCCACAAAGATTCTCATCATTAACGCCCCCGCAACTGGTGTAGGGAGTCCAACACTCATATAAATATTAGCCTACATGAATACCAAGTTTCAAGTCGATCGGATGCACGGTTTAGTAGTTATAACGGAACATCCGTAAAAACCACTGTAGATTTATAAATTAGTACAGATTAGCTCGTTGGGAGGGTAGGTTAGCATGACCTAGACTTTACAGGATACAGCAAAACTAACGTCGGTCCATCAGATCCGCCTGAGCCCTCCTGAGCAAGCAAGCAAGAGTATCCAGGAACCAGTATTCGGCCAGGCTCGTCTTATATTCCGTACAACCGACGATATCAGCCAGAGCATCTATGTACTTCTGCGGGGAGGTGCGACTGATTCTCGGTATTGACTCCGGATCGACGCTACTCTTGAATTCTTTTGGGAGAACGTGAATGCGGTTCTGCTCTTCGATTAGTCTGGTGCTATCCGGCAGGATTCTTCTTAACGATGGCGAAGGGAAAATGCGAGGTGTCTCTTCTTCTGCCACTGAGGGCGCAGTCGCAGTAGACTCATTTTCTTGAACGCTGACCGGTGTTGTTTCTTCGTGTTGTTCCGGGAGTCCTGGTTAAGAAGAATATATTAAAATCATCAAGATTAAAGAGAAGATTTTTTTTATTGCATAGATGTGTGGACGAGCTCAGCTCACCTGGTGTTTAGTGGTTACCGGAGCCCATAGACATCTACAACGTATGTGCCGCCGCTCAGTATAGTTACTACGGCTGCCTAACCCTTCAAACCGAAACGCATTACTGCTTCACGGCAGAAATAGGTAGGGTGGTGGTACATACCCGTGCGGACTCACAAGAGGTTCTGCCACCATAGCCCTGATAGATTGGGCGTACTAGTCTCGCTCAGCCGAACCACGCCTTCGCTCTTTCCAAGATGGACCAGATGAAATGGTGATCTTCATTAGTAGTTTATCCAGAGACTAGGTGTCTCTGGATAAACTTCTAGATACCTCTACATAGAGGGAGAGACCTTTGTATGTAGTACCTAAGTAATATATCCTTAATTGATTACACTTGAGGCAAGCCGTATTGTGAACCAACCGGATAGGTACTATAACCATGTCGTGGAACAGTGATGCGTTCTATGTAGTTTGAAGGATGGAATTGGCATTCTTTGAGGGTGGTGCCGGTGGTGGGTTGGTTGGAGATATCGATTTATTTACGGCGTAAAGTTTCGTGGTAATTATTATTAGGTAAGTTTCTCTGTGTGCCTCCTAATGCTATTCCTATTTATGTATTTGACGATACATTTGTTTGTTTTACTGTACCTAATAATGTCATGTACGTATTGGAAAATAAATTTCTAAGCAATGTTTTTGAAGTTATACTTCTTATGGCGCATTATGAAAAATTTATTAGAGTGAAATTTTACGATGCGCGTGCACCGTGACACACAATTAACAGAATGAAGTTGCCCACTAAATCGCTCATTACAATACGACCGACGTAACTTGGCGAGTCTGAATATAGCTGCAGGTGAACTTTCCGAACCGTACCGAGAATTACCGAATTCATAGGATGTCAAGAAAAGGGATGTCCAATATGCGTGTTTGAGGATGTTGTTTAATCGATTTTTTTCAAATTGTATAAAATTTAAATAAAAAAAAGAAATAAATTTAATAAAAATAAAGTATAACTTTTTTTAATTGAAAAATACTTATCTGTATTAGCTATGTTTCCTTTGCCTGTACAATCAGACAATTCAGACTTAAGTGTATAATCTATGATTCAGACACAAATGTTCACGGAATTCAAAATCTTTTAAAATTATTTAGGGCGTGTTGAGAGTGTCTATCAATTAAGCCAATTAAAATAATCAACTCCTCAAAAATATTAAATAGAATAGTCGTAAATAAAGCTTTGCTATTGCATCGAATAAGGCGCTCTCAAGTAAAGTACCTTGTTCTTCACTGTCCTCGTGTGAAGACGAAGATTCAGACGACGCTATATCCGGTTTAATACACTCCAAGCCAGAATCAGACAGTAATTGACTCAGAGCTGCCTCGTGTAGTACTTCTATCCGACGTGACGACATTATAAGACTGGAATTAATTAAGTCTACGAAAAATGGCGGTTTTTGTGACGTCTATTCCAATGTCATTTTGACAGGCGGATGAAATAGTTTCTCTTTGGTTTATTTCTTTTTTTATGAAGGTTTGTATCGTTCAAGTTTGATACAGATAAGCATTTTGAGCTGTAATTAAATGCGAAAACAAAATGAAATCGAGGGGTCTATATTTTGGTTTAAGCGATATTTCCCTTAACACAAGACATCTATTTTTGTAATTAAAGGCCCGTTTTATTTGAAATTAGCATCAGCAAATCGATGTTTTTAATCGAACTTCAATTATGTTTACACCATGCAAATAAATGAAGAAGTTTTTTTTTCATGACTTTTTTTTTCAAAAGTTTACACTTTATATAGCTCTACTGTAAAGTTGCAAAAATGTCGCTCAAATCTAAAACAGCCTTTCACCCCTCGAAATGACAACGAACTTGTGAATTTCGACTTCTCTCTTGCGCTCGATCAAAATTCAAAACTACTTTATGAATAATATTATAAATTCCTACATGAAACTCAACATTAACATACCCCTTGATGTCTTAGTTATTAACAAACACAAACTAACCTCTCAAGGCATAGTTTGATCAAAGGACTATATATTTTTAAATAGACTAGTCTAAGAACGCGATTTCTTTCGAAAATACCATTGTCATTCACGATCTTCAACTCAATAAATCAACACCGGAACAAGTACAAATTCTGCCAACTTGAATATACGTTATAAAGCAACGTCACCAATAGACGTAGGTATACAATGTAATTAAGGAGTGAATTTTTCGAGGATGTCGATTTCGGAGGGTGTCGAGAACCAAACTCGAAGATAAGAGGAGTAACGAAAAAAAAAACTGCTAAAAAGGACTCTGGAGACCGGTTTAAAAAAAAAAACTTCAATTCGTAAATAAAATCGAGTGATAGGTTAGGCAAATGAATCTAAAGTCTTAAATCCCAAAAAAAAATTGTATTTTATTTTTAATTTTTTTTATTCCTACCTATACTTATAGCCTTGAGAGACCATTTCAACTTCGCCCTAACGTGTAGGTGAGCTCACGGGGTTCAAACCGGAATGTTGCTAACACTGGCCCTAGCAAAAGCAGTGCTTCGCAGAATCTACCACCGGATCGGAAACGCGATCCACTGAGAGTATCCGGCGAGAAACTCAGTGGACTGTGTCTGTGGGTTAATTTGCTCGTCGAGGCTTTCGTCGCAAGCGACGGGTTCGACGAGGACGGTGAAGGGCATTTTTAATGCTGTTAGGTATTCTATGCGTAGTGCTGACGGCGAAATACCTTTGTCCGTTATTCTGTTTCAGTCGGATATCGGGCGTCGGGCTAAAGTGCAGGAAAATCGCTTAATGGATGGTCCTCTGCCTTCTACGATCCTGGTCTTTACCCTCTACTGCACAGAGTCCTTTTTTAGACGCCGGTACCTGAGAGGGAGGTCAGCGCCCGTTCAGAAAAAAAAAAGAATTAAAATTATCATAAGTCCTTTCTATTATTTAATTAAGACTTTTGACTTACATTTCAAATTGTTTCAATTAAAGTTATCATCTAAGAAGATGTAATACTCATCTGATATATGGTTAATGTCGGTTTTGGACATTGACAGTGCCAGGAGTGTTAACGCCATTTTTGGATGCGACCAAAAAAAAAAACGGTACGCAAATTTTGCTATATTTTTTTTATATGTACGGAATTTTGCAGCGCCACAATGAGCGAGCCTCTAATTGGAGCACCAAAATACGAGGGCCCCTAAAATAAAGGGTTTCGCGACCGAAATTCTGTGGTCCGAGTTACGGACTTGCAACTGTTTGAATATTTAATTGAAATTAATAAATTTTAAGTTTTAGGTATAGCTTTTTCCAAATTATCGTGTTCATTCGTTCACAAAGCTTTATTTTTGGGATTTTCCTTTCTGTTGTACCTAGATTGTAATTGTTAAAATAAAGTATTTAAAAAAAAAATCCTAAAACTAAAAGCTATCGCGTATTTTTTAAATAAGATAACCTCTTATAATTCGATGAACACAGGCTACACGCACGAAATAGTGTCACGTTCCATCTGAGCCTAAGCGTGCAAGCGATAAAGAGGCACGATCGGCCGAAGCGTTGCCTTGTGACACGTTTAGCTCTCTTCTCGCGTGACGTCAGAGCTAGTAGTTCAAATATTTATGCTTCTGACCTTATCACGTAACACTATCGTCCGTAAACCGAGTTTACAGACAACAGATTAATTATTTTTTAGAGAAATTTAACAACACAATACTAGGTATAAACTAAGGTGGCAATTTCTGGTGATATATTTGTGTGATCTAGTGGCCATCCGGTAGTCGAAATTCGACTGTAATTATTAATTTAAATTATATGTTTGAACATTATTATGGTTCTTTTGTCAAATACTTTACTTCTATAACCACAAATTTCTCCAAGACTACACTATAGACAAACATGTAATATTAAAGAAATCAATATTAATCTATTCTCAAATTGACCACATACTTTAACAATAAACAAAATAGTATATAAGCGTGTGTGTGTCAAACACACGGTAGTGTGTGTAATGTTTCTTTATTGGTTTAATGTATTTTTTATGCATTATTTAAAAAAAAAATAGCATTGTGCACTCCTTCTCTATATTCTTTATAAGTGTGGGAAATTTCATACTCCTCAGTCCGCGCAATTTTCAAGAAAAGGGGTGTAAAGTTTTTGCTCCACGTATTCATCTAGAGATACCTTGTGATGTCTGTGGACCTCGTTAACCACAAAACATCAGGTTGTTATTTAATTTATCCGAACAATAAAAAAGTCTTACCATTAAGTATTTCCGCTGTATTCGTTTCACTTGAACCACACCACGAGTCCTAGGGGCCAATGCACGGCTTCCACTCGTCTCGAAATTACAGGGAACACAGATATTTACACCTCCCACTAATTTGTTCGGATCCCTGTAGTTTTGTACTTAACTATTTGACTGAAGCTTTTTAATTGTAATACACTCGAGCGTTTTCAAGAATTCGTCGAACGGCGCTGGCTATACTGGCTCACGTATGGAAGTTTAAGTATTAGTGCTTATTAAAGTGAAACTTTTATTACATCGTCTCAAAGTTTTTCGTCTGTGTGTTGCATGTCGCGTGACGGTCGGCCGCGGAGTAGGGATAAACTGAAAGGCGCTCGTCAGAGCAGCCAAAGCCAATATGGCGGCGCCTATAGTTCGATGTACTTCAATTTTGAGTGCTTGAATTTATTATTTAACTTATTTCGTATGAATATTAAATTAAGATTAATGATTTTTATACCCTTAATGGAATATTATTCCAAATTTTTTTAGTTGAATCTCTATAATGTGAAAAAAAGTTTTACTTTTACCGTGGTTTCATAAAACCTTTTTTTTTTTTTTTATTGCTCAGATGGGTGGACGAGCTCACAGCCCACCTGGTGTTAAGTGGTTACTGGAGCCCATCGACATACACAACGTAAATGCGCCAACTACCTTGAGATACAAGTTCTAAGGCCTCAAGTATAGTTACAACGGCTGCCCCACCCTTCAAACCGAAACGCATTACTGCTTCACGGCAGAATAGGATCCTCCCGATCCACTCTCGATTTTTTAGGCTCTCCAAGCACCGGTCACCGTTAATGAGTCGATATGCGATCAAGCTCATAGACACAACCCAGTAAGTTTCTCACCAGATCTTCTCAGTGGGTCGCGTTTCCGATCCGGTGGTAGATTCTGCGAAGCACGGCTCTTGCTAGGGCCAGTGTTAGCAACACTCCGGTTTGAGCCCCGTGAGCTCACCTACACACGTTAGGGTGAAGTGAAGCTGAAATAGTCTCTCAAGGCTATCGGCATAGGTAGGGAGGAAAAAAAAAAAACTCACAGTGCTATTACTTGTTTATGACGGCAAGACCAGGTCATGTTCCCGTTAATATTGGATAACTATTACCCCACCATTTAAGCGGAACATGTGAATTTTTCGCGCCATATTAAGAAAGACGGTGTCGCTTAGCCACTTAGGAATCGTTATATCGAAGGCCGACTTATTTCTCTTGATGGTACAGTCGTTGCTTATCTCTTAGGGCCTCGTTTGAAGAAGCTGTTTTCAACATCTACAATCCATTAAGTAATCGAATACTTTCGTATTTATTCATCGTGTTCAGTCTTATGCGTTCGGTAACTGAATCCGGAAATCGAAACTCCTGGCCACACGTAAATTACTGAGTAATGTCCGTTTGGGCGTGATAGACATTGTTTATGAGGACCGTACTTGAAAAATAAACGGGGGGTCAAGCCCACAATAAGGAGGCAATTGTTATGAGTTCGCACAGATTGGTACTGTCGTGCTGTTTTTATTCCCTACCTAGTCTTTGGTAGCCTAAGGGGCTGTTCCTACTTCGACGGTCCAACGGCCCTAGCAAGAGCAGTGCTTCGCTGAATCTACCACCAAATCTGAATCACGACCCACTGATCCGGCGAGAAACTCAGTGAATTGTATCTATGAGCTGGTTCACATGTTGAAATCTACGTATCGTGTTGTTTATTTCTATTTAAAGTTACTCGTGGTTATTGGATTATTTCACCAGGACTGGTGAGCATGCACAGGCTTAGTCAGGAGGAGTGGGATGCTAAGGACTGACAGATCGAGGTTAGGTGCTTCGTGAATTCATCTACTATCGGACCGGAATTGCGATCGCTGAGAAGATCCGGCGAGAAACTTAGCGGGCTGATGTATTTTTGTACGTTACTTTCACCGACTTCAACACATCGCTATCTTTGCTCCATTTACTGGTGGTAGGACCTCTTGTGAGTCCGCACGGGTAGGTACCACCACCCTGCTTGTTTTTGCCGTGTAGCAGCAATTGCTTTTCGGTTTGAAGGGTGGGGAAGCCGTTGTAACTATACTTGAGACCTTAGAACTTATATCTCAAGGTGGGTGAGATGTCTATGGGCTCCAGTAACCACTTAACACCAGGTGGG